TCCTGAGATATATAATTCATATGCTATGTGGCCCAGGTTACCCTAAACCCCTAAACCCTAAACCCCTAAACCCTAAACCCCTAAACCCTAAACCCTAAATAACCCTTGAGCTAAGGACCTGTAGACCCGGCTTTGAAAGACTTGGCCTCATGTGGACCTGGCGGCTCTCGGGTTGGCTGCAATGCATCTCGAAATTTGCATCGGCTTATCGCGAAGTCAGGGCGTTATCTTCCTGTGGATATCTCTACAGTGACGACACCAATTCGACTAGTCAACAAAGGCAGACCAAGAACAGTTGAAACGGCTTTCCCGGTGATCCTGCCAAGCTCGTGGTTGAGGTATTCCTTACATGTAGGAGGCGAGGCCTTCTTAGGAGGTCATCCACTTGATGCTGAAGATGCATACTGCAACATGCTGGCCGATTTCTGGCAAAACTATGCAGCTATAAATCCGGAATGTGCTGTCTTCAAGAGACCTGACTACAGCAGGGAGCTTGCCAGCCGGCTGATACCAATGGCAGTTCATGGGGACGAGGGACGTGGCAAGGCCAAACACCCCATCATGATACTGTCGGTGCAACCTGTAATCGGACCGAAAGGTCCCGATTTTGTGAACACCAGTGGGTACCTAGCCGCGAATAAGTATGTTGCATGATCCTCGCTAGTTAGCTAATTGCCAGAGCAGCCCTGAAATTCACAAAGGCATTCCTTGACTACCCGGATGTTGTTTACAGTCATCCCCTCGCAGCTATACTCCAACGATGCCACCTTGAGAGCGCTGCTCGATGGTATGACGGCTGACCTGCAGGAGTTGTACCAAGATGGAGTGGAGGCTTGTTTTAGTCGCCTCGTTCCCTAAACCGTAGAAGGAAGCTAGCTCTCTAAAAATTTTTATTGCAATGTCTAAAGCAAGCTGACCCATTCTACAGGTGATGTTTCACAAACGTCCTCTGCAATTTCGGGCAGCTGTGTTGGCGGTTAAAGGAGATTGGCCTTTTCTGAGGAAGTCTATGGGCTTGGCGACCGGCTTTACAAGCACTTTTAAGTGCCACCACTGCATGGGAATGGACCCTTAACTATCCATATATGGTTCCTTGGCTTTTCATAACGGGTATGTAGTACATAGTTCTGCTAAGGATTGGTTTGATTGCTCGAAGGAAGCTCTAGACAGAGCCCATGCGCAATCTCCTATGCCCAGCCCATTCAAAGACGAGGAACCACCCTGGCCATTCAGACGACTCTCTACTATCGGCGACAACCCCGCGAACATACGAGCAGATGTTGCGCACACGTATGCGATCGTGGGCTGGGGAAAGGATCTGGCTGCATCCACCCTGCTTTTGCTCGTTCGACTAAGAGTCTTCAATGGTCGTTCGGTGCAAGCTGCACTAGATGAGGCTTACAGCGACTTCCGCGAGTATTGTCACAGAACGGAGAAATCTACGTCGATAACAAACTTCTCCCTGAAGACACTGAAAATCGAAACGCCACTTGTCTGATCCCAAAATAAATCTAAGCTTAATCCTATAGATATAGGTACCTATATAATATATGCTATCGTGAGGTAATTGCAATGAGCAAACCCGGATCCCTGAAATACAACAACCCATTGTAACCTCAGCCCGATCAACCCGAACTACCAAGACCGAGGCACCAAAGGGCACACTAGCTTGACCCATGACTCAGGTTGAAGGAGTATCCAGGAGGATGCGGGAAGGGACATGATTGTGGTGTCATGAATGCATGGCTGGAAGAGCTGACTGGACGAGTCGATGAAACAACTCTTGTAGCTTGGATCATATAACTCATACACCCTGCGGTTTCCATCCTTCCCGCTATATAATGCCTAGGCAGAGTTCGAGTGATTTGCTTAGGACAACACTTATTTGCAGCTCTTCCTGGTGCTTCGATGGACCCTGAAATGCTGTGGTGTGCATTTTCGTACTCTCTACAGCACTGGCATCTATCTAGACAGACACCAAGCCTCGCTCGCCGCAGAAAGTGGATGGAAGATGCTGGAAGCTTCCCCTTGGTCGAGCATATTCATATTCCATACGTTAGGGTTTAGGGTTTAGGGTTGTAGGTCGAGGTCGGCTTTTGCTTTTTGGGATCTTGGTGGCTGATGTGGGTCGAGTTCGGTTTTTGGTACATATAGCGAAATTATAAGGGGTTCATGTGAGGCAGTAGTAGGAAGGTATGGATTACAATTCGGGGCCTTTTCCTTTGCACATCGATCTTTGCTTCAAGCTAGCTAGGCTAGATGGGGGATTATGTGTACTTGCCAGAACTCAGGATGGGTATATGAGACTAGCCCGGATGTGTGCATCATTCCAGTGGCCGCTGTACCGAATTAGGCCTAAACTTCATATGCAGGCGGAAATCGTGTTGCTTAGCTGCAACAAATAATCGACTGCATGTGTGTCGTATCAGCGGTTCATGATCGATGGATGCATGTGCGAGCATATGAGATACGATCTGGAGCTGCAGCTCAGCAAAGACAGCGCCGTCATTCTCAATTCCCTTTGCTCCCTGGCCCTGAACATGTACCCACAGTACCAATAGGCACATGCATCATGAGCATTGCAACACTTCCAGGCTGGTGCTGTTGGTCTGACGAAGACTATGTGGGACGGATAGCAAGACTATCTCGCAGATGTCATCCTAGTACAACGGTTGTGCGGACACTGGCCAAAAGCTTAATGGCTTATAAGGGAGAGTGGGCTCGCATATACGATTTGCAGAGCTGAGCCTCCGGCTGTTTTTGATCCGTTCACGGACACGTCGCCGTCGGGCGAGAAATGTGTGCACTGCGCTGTTTGTGGATTGGGGGTTTAGGGTTTAGGGTTTAGGGTTTTTTGTGGATTGGGGATGGGAGGTTACCCTAAACCCTAAACCCTAAAAATCCCGACGAGCATCATACCAACCTGGATCGATTCGTATATCCTCGAAACCGAAGCCCTCAACCATAGAGCTTTATAGCTAGGCATTAATTACATCATGGCCTCCTGAAGCAGAAGCCGTTGCCCTGTTTCAAACCCCGAACCCCAAACTTAATCATATCTAAACGATAAGTCCCTCATCTTTGCCCGGGGCTTGCCATGTCCGGCCACATTTCAATAAATCCGGCTGGAAATCAAAATACGTCCATAAACCGAATTAAGTGATACACATTTTTTTCGATATCAAAATAAACATTACGAAAGAAGGTCTAGGTATACGGAGTTTAGTGGGATAAACCTGCGCCTATCCGTGCATCCACATACTACAAGTGTTACCATGTGCCATCAACGACGCGCTGCGGCTGAGGGCGGCAGAGCCTGGGGGGATTAGCCTGCGGGAAAGTTGGGAAAGCAGCTGTCCGAAATCGAAGTCCTAAACCAAAAGCCAGATTTGCTGGCTGAATTGTGTCCAGGTTTGTTGGCCCAGTTGTTACGTCTGCAGACCTGCCCTGAGGTAAAGAACCAACTTATCCCAAACTTCCCAAAACCCCAATGCCAACCCAACGTGAGGTGACTGTGGCCCGTTTTTCATGCAAGTGTCCAGAAACAGTCCTCAATGAAGGGGCCTAAATAACCAGCGATACTATGTTGGGGGGTTCCTCGTTATCATTATAGTCTATTGCCCCCCAAAACCCTATGCTAGTTATTAAGGCCCCTATATTAGACAGCGAAGGCCAGGACGACGGAGACTCCAAATTGAACCTCCCAGAACTATGGCCCCTTGGACCCAGAATCAAAGTAAAGCTTCCAAAAACACCTTGGAGTCACTCGTAACGAAGCATCAAAAGTGACTAAGGTGAGAATAACATATGTAGAGTAGATGTATATTACTATATCATGCATAATGTGTGATATATAAAATGATATATATATATATATATCATATGATATGACATGTGATATATGATATATGATACGTGATAAATGACAAATGATAAATGATAAATGGTAAATGATATATGATATATGATATGATTGTGTGTATATATATAGATTACACACATATATATATATATGTA